CGTGGAGTAGAGGGGAAGAATTCCCCCCGCTCGCCCTGCTGGCCACGGCTCTCTTGACGCAGCCCAGGACACGAGTGGCTTTCTGGCCTGCAAGTGCCACTGACGGCTCATGCTGAGCACAAATGCAAGCATCCAAACCAAACCTGAGGATGGGACGCTACGTGGGCAACCCACCGGATGTCAGCTTTCCGTTAAAAGCACCCACAGGAAAGCATCAGCCAGCGAGATGCACGTAGGAGCACGGGCTGTGGACTCCCTGGGGGTCAGAGAAGGAGCTGTGAAGCATTTGCTGGCAGCTCAGTTGTGCCAGAGGAGCTGAGATCTCCCATTTTCCAGCCCACAATTAAAAATGGCGCTCACCTTTTACCTTGGCAGAACAGCGCTGCTCATTTGGAGACACAAAGATAAACAAAGCCAAAGGGGTGAAGGGAATGGGTGGGGGATATCTCCAAACCTTAAGCAACATTTATTTAAAAAAACCCCAACACACAAAACCCAACAAACACCAGAAGCGCTTGCTGGCGATTTGCACTAAACATATCGGTGTGTTGTGGTATGCCAACGAAAATAATTAGCATCTTCAAGGCTTTTTACACAGCCACAGCACAGCTGAAATGAAAACAGATTCCAGGAACGAGTCCAACGTAAACACTGGTTCAAGTCCGCCCGCTCACCTCTCCGTTGGCTCCGCCACCGGCTTCCTTGCGAGGCAGGAACAGGGAGGCACAAAAGCCGGCACCGTGCGGCTTCACGCCGGCACACGACGACTCCTACCGTGCCGACAGCTCTCGCTACGCGACGGCTCAGGCAACACGCACAGACTGAAGCGTTGTCCACAGGTTGGGATCCCAACAGCGACCGCTCGGGAAAGCCACCAAGAACCACTCATCACCAGTTCAAGTACCCCACCACCCGGTACCCTCGGACACACTTTGGCAGTCACCCAAGCGTCACTGGGAGTATTTCAAAAGATTTCAAAAATCTACAACATCAAAGTTGAACCTTGAGGCTTCAGCTCAGTTGATGCTTCTTCCTTAACAGAGCAACACGAGACACTGAAACCCAACTGCGCTGAACAGCAAGTACCAGGAGTGAATTACACGACAGGGTGGGGTTTTTGGCTTGAAAATAAATTGCAACGATGATGTGCTTGGCCGACACCATAATTCAGTTGAGGAAAAAAAATAAGCTTCTTCGGCAAACAAGGTATTCTCTGCTTTTCAAATGAGAAAAAGGTCATTTGATGAGAAACGAGCCAAGAGGAGACTAAAAGAACAAGAAACTAATATCTAAGATAGCCTTTAGTGCTTAAAAATAACAAAAAAAAAAACCAAACCCAAATCAACCCATTAAGCCAGAGATACGTGAGCCCAAACAATTAAAAACAAGAAAAGCTTTTCAAAGCTTCAACTTTTAAGTTAACTCCTTGGCAAAATGCCTCCCCTGACTCACAATTAAGAATATTTTCTTTAAGCTAACAGCTACCAATCAACGACAATCAGCCTTAAAAAAACGCCCAAACCTAAAAAAGTACAAATGCAGAGCAGACTGAAGAGATGATGGTAATGGTGATGATGATGATGTCGTCATTATCTCTGCTTTGCTGATGTAAACCAGACATTGTGACATTGTTCAAATGGAGCCACAGCAACATTCTGCTGGAGCGCAGTTGAGTCGAATGGCAATAAACCTGCTTTTTGGCTGGAATTGCCCAATAAATTTAGAGTCTTTGAGAAGTGTCCTTGGGATGAGGATAACTAAATCTCACAGGCTCTTATTAAAAAATAATAATAATAAAAAAACACCACCCAAAACTTTGCACTTAAAACCACATTACAGATTTAACAAGAACTTAACATTTTTAAACCCACGTACAGACAAACCCCCTCCCTAGCCAGAGACCAGATCCGACCTCGGGGAGAGCTGCAGAGGTAGGAACACTGATTTGCCAGTTATTCCTTCTGGCAGCTCAAACCTTTAGCTCAGAGTAAATGGTATAAAATACATTAACAAGGAGGAAAGGGGGTGGGTGAAAACCTGAGTGTCTGCCTGTCAGCCCACACGGAAAAGCTCTGCAGGGGTGGCGGGACAGGAGGGAAGCGAGGCACATCTAGAACGCCCAACAGCCAAAGCAATCCGCTCGTTCTGCTAGCATCCCAGGCTGATTGGAAATTAAACCAAGTGTGTAATGGAGCTAATGAAATACAACGTTCTGCCGCTTAAAACAGGACCCTCTGGCTCGTCATCCCGTTAAAACGAGGAGAAAAATGAAGAAAAGGAGGAAAAATTAAGAGGT